AATCTTTCTGATTTATGTCAGTGTAGAACATTAAACTGAGAAGGTGAAATTTATGAGATTTATATTGCTGATGAGAGGCAATAAAAGGTTCTCCCAGGTGCTTGAAACAGAACAGTTTAACATTCCTTGATATTGTTAGAAACAAAGAAATGAACTGCTGAACTGCTCTGTAATCTATTTCTTGGATGCCAATGAATGTTGGACAATCTCCTCAGAGATGAAGAAGAGATGAATTGACATAGATGTGGTTAGGTTGTTTTACTGACGATTTTTTTTTTACATTGAGGCTCACCCTGTACAAGGTCACTCGGGGTAGTGGGTTAAAGTAAGATGCAGATACGGACAGGGGGGGGGACGGTAACGGTTAACCCTCGGTTTGAACTGGTTAAGATTATAGTGATCGAGACAACATCCTTTTTGCAGTCGGTTCCACAGGGCATTGATTCGTGGGAAGAAGCTGTTCAAGTGGAACTTACTTCTCACCGATGGAATACGAAGGGAATGGGGGGGGGGTTGCTACTGTGTAAATGACAGAACATGTGAACAACGAGGACATCTGAAGGAAAATGGGAACGATAAGAAAACTTATATTTAAAATCGGAAAGAGTTAAAATTAGTGGGATACATAATGAGGAAAGAAAACCTGGAGAATTTAACACTCACAAGATGTACTGAAGGCGAGTAAAGCAAGGGTAAACAGCAACTAATCTAGTTAACGAGCTTGTGTGAATGGATGGATGGCAAAGAGATGGTAAAGGATAAAAGAAATTAGAGTAAAAAAAATCATGAAATTGTGGAGAGTGATGATCACTTATCCTGGAAGGACTTGTCACATAAAAGAAATATAGTAACTGAGACAGAATGGCCTGGGTTTCGGCATTGATTTGATTTTATTGAGCCGAGTGTCGTACTATCCAAGTTAGCATTAACTTCTATGCGTTTATTCAGGACATGAGCGATCATGGCTCTCCACAACTTCCTATCCAGTGTGGACCTTTGCAGTTTTTAATCCTTTGCTAAAGCTCTTCCCCCTCCCTTGTCCCACCATCCACCCAGAAAAGCTTTCTTACCCTCAATATTCCCCGTGAGGGTTAAGCTTTCCAAGCCCTCCGTCCTTATTATGTACAAGGGAATTTAGCTGTTTTCTTCCGTTTCTAAGTATAAATGTTTTTTCTAGTGCCATTTTGTTTGAAACTTCCTCGTTGCTTACTCACTCCGACCATGGTATTCCCAGTATCCTTCTGTAGAAACACATTTCTGCTGCCTCCATTTTTCTCCTCATCCGTGGGGAGATTGTCTAGCATTCACTGGGATGGATAACACATAGCAATCCAGGAATCATTGTTTATAACAATTTTTTTTCCGTTTCTCAGGACATTGCTAGTGCTTCTTTCGCTAGACGAATGCGTGCTTCGTATCACGGTGTCGCATTTTCCCATCCACTGTTAAAATAATTCCCAGGTATTTAAACTTCTGCACCTGCTTTGATGTTGACATCTCTAATTTGTAAGTAGTATCATAGATTATCGATGATCATAGCATTGGCTACATAAATTAATGATGTAATGGAATAACCAGTCATCCCCACCATGAATGTTTACACTATAGGTAGGAAGTACCTATAAAGTCAACTGTCTACGAGAGACTCAAGGAAGAGTGAGAGGGAGAATAGTGCTCTCTCCTGTTCTTCATTGTCGAACTCTTTGCCTTGAGCAGTGAGGAGCCCAGACGAAGGGCAAAGTTTCGTCCGGGGAGGTAGACAGACCCTGAAGGGGATATTTTTGGCCGAGCCTACGGACTCGGAGAACCCACAGTAAACTCGGCCTTGTGCCATATACACCCCTCGTGTCCGACCGACCAATTAGTGGCGCTCACTACTAGATTGACCTGTGTGTATAACTCTACCGTATTTCATATTGTATTGGTTGTGTACAATAAACCTTTCTTCTATTATGCACCTGATGTTAAGTATTTATTCCCTTAAGACGGAATATAACAATTAATAATTTCAGTTTCAAGAAAAATTGATAAAACATTAACTTTGCCACATTTATACAATGCGGAGAAGCGATTAGTGTTTTTGTTTTAATTAAAGTGTTTTCAATAGCGAATTATTAAAGAAAAGACAGTAAGTTGGTTTTTCACTCAACGCCATCGATTGATACACCTTCAAATATATCATAATCTGTTTAGTACCAGATTTGAACCAGAATACCAATAGGTACCAGTTGAGACGTTAAGCTTTGAATCACGGAGACGAGTAAGCATTGATCAAAATACCAACGAAGCTTTCCTAAGAAACAAGTATTTTTATTGTTTCTACTTTTGTTTATATAAAGTACGGGGAACGTTTATGTCTAGCGAAAAAATAGTTCAGTTCTGCCATTTTTGTTTATGTAGCGACACGCCTCCTCAAGGGGTCAGATTTTGTAAGAATTTGGCAGGAAAATGGTGGAATCACCATTAGAAAAACAACAAAGAGAATTGGATATGAGAATTGAATATAGAACACATGATTTCTTTGCTCTTTGTCCAGATTTTTTTCAGCAATGGCCATTCGGTTTCGTTAAATAAAATTAACGTAGAAGATATAAAAGTGCTAGAGAATTAATTTAGATCTTTTATCCGATGTCTTCTTGAGACCGATTAATTCAATGATGCATATATATATATATATATATATATATATATATATATATATATATATATTAAAAAAAAACAGACCACTTTAAAAGGTACCATTATAATAATTTATTTCACCAGAGCCCTTTATATATATATATATATATATATATATATATATATATATATATATATATGAAGAAAAAATATACAGAAAAAACAAAAAAAATCTTGATATGTAATTATGCTGTATTAATGTTAATATAAAGTCAACGTCGGACGTTTCGGTCTATTTTAGACCATCATCAGGACATATTCATAAAACATAATTAACATTAGAACATATAAAATTCAACATGAAAAAGACGATGGACATAAGAGCACAACTAATCCAAACAGATAACTGAAATTTTTTATATAAGATCAGCGTTCCGTTTAAAATATGATCACGTCGTCGTCACGTGGGCGATGTTGTGAAAACGTATTCGAAGATGATTTCAAAATATTAAACAAACTCGATTGAACTATTTTCTCATATAAACAGTTCGTCAAGAAATCCCTTCCGTTGATATAGCAATATATCATATATATATTATTTACAGTATATATATATATATATATATATATATATATACATTATTTGTATTATTCGTACTATTGTCCTCACCTTTGTCGCCATATTTATTATAACGTTTCGGCCGTTGTACGCTCCGGCCTTCTTCAGCTGGTTGGAATGTCGAACTGAACCCTTTATTTCGCTTACTGGGGTAGACTGTTCTAGTAGTTCCACGTGCCATGTTTAATGGATGTCAGTTATAAGTTATCTCACACTCTTTGGGTCCTGTCACTGGATCTAACCAACGCCTTTATCCACTGTGCCATATGTCCTTGAGGACATCTGTGTATGAATTTCTGGGTATTATGAACCTAATGTCTTCAGCAACCATTTTTACCAATGCTCATATTGCAATTTTGCTGTTATCATTGCATGTTTTTAACCGGAGCTCATATTGCAACTTTGTTGCTTTTCTTTGGCTCTCCTTATTATTGTTATTATTATTGGTTCCAATATTGTATTTTTTTCTATGGTTGGTCGGCTCAGGAGGTTTTTTTGGTCTAGCATATGTGCTGATTCCTTAAGTTTCCGAATTTTCCAATGATGTTCTTTGTCTATGATCTCAACCTGATCCCACAGAGGGCGGTGATCTCCCTTCTCTCTCCATATGTGATCTGCCATATATATATATATATATATATATATATATATATATATGTGTGTGTGTGTGTGTGTGTGTGTGTGTGTGTGTGTGTAAATATAATAAAGTTGTTGGTTAGAAAATGTCAGATCAGCTAGCGGATATTTAAAAATGTGCTTAATACGCAAATTCAAAACATTGAACGTGTGAAGCAGATGATATATATATAAAAATAGGAGTATTTACCAGTTACACTACCCGGGTCCAACCATAAGGTTTCTTCAGGTGGTATTGGCAAATTATGTTTTTTAAAGGTTCCATTTCATCGTTTATAAACCTAATATCATAAAAGGATTATCCACAGAAGGGGATGGGTATGGCAGAAGTAGTTGTAAAAAATATTGTTGTGTTCACTTTTATACAAATTCGTATAGTCCCAAAATATATTTATTGGCGTGTCTGTATTTAAACATTACTTCTGACCTTTCGTTTAATAATTTTTCTCGGTCCGTGTATGTCACTATGGCCAGTTTTTTCACTTAGCGTAATTTGCCAACATTTCTACCAATGCTAAAAGACTTGACCTTTCTCAAAATACTCCATTTAACGTTAGGACTTTTTTTTTCTTTATAACTCCCACACATAGCTGGCGAGTTTGGTATGGTACCTGTGTCTTTTCAATTTAAAGTTTTTTTTGCTTAAATTTGTCTTCCGTGCATCCCACATAGACCTTGGTCTCTCCGCTGTCATCTTCCACTTCTGCCGACTGTTGTCCTCAAGGCCCAGTGGATAAAAACGTCGGGTTAAGTTATTCATTGACTTGACCCAAAGATTTCTGAGATCAAAAGTCACTGCAGAGATGAACAAAAACTTGGAGTTGAGTTAATAACGGGAAATAACTGGAACACTGAGATATCCAGAAAAAAGCATGTTACATAGAACGAGAACAATCTACCTAAATAAAGGGGTTCGGTTCGAAATTCCAACATATATCACCTGAAGAAGGCCGAAGCGTACAACGGTCGAAACGTCGTGAATATGACAATAAAGAAGAGACCGAATAGTATATATATATATATATATATATATATATATATATATATATATATATATATATATGTGTGTGTGTGTGTGTGTGTGTGTGTATGCATACGTACTAAATGGAAAACGCGATAATACGGCTTACGGTCATATCACGTTGAAACATCGGTTCCCGTACGATCAGCGAAGTTAAGCAACGTCGATTCTGGTCAGTACCTAGGAGTGAGCGCTTAGGAATACCAGGTGCTGTAAATTTGGATATGTGGGAGATGTTGTCGATAATGGATCGGAATCGTTAATCGGAAGAGCCGGGTTCCTATTCCCGTTAGGTTCGTATTATTGACTTAAGCATGAATACACTTGGGGAAGGTATGAATTAACCTCTTCCCCCGTCAGATATGGGTCAATTAGTAAGACTTCTATCACTAAAACCACTATTATTCCTCTAATTAAAAATACAGTTAATATTGCGTCCAAAATATTTAGATTTAGACGTTAAATAACCCATAAAGATGTTGATTTGCCACCAACCAACCAACCAACCAACTAACCAACCAACCAACCAAAGCTATAATACTGGGGACGTAATTGGGTTATTCAAAATGTTTTGGGAAACTTGACGTACGAAATGATTTTCTGGAAGAAAAAATATCGGATATATAGTCCTAGATTTCCTGATGAGGATAGGAAATATATGATGAAGAATTTATATATATATATATATATATATATATATATATATATATATATATATATATATATATATGATATATATATATATATATATATATATATATATATATATATATATATATATATATATATATGTATGTCTGAGAGATTATAGTTGCTCAAACGAGAGAAAAGTGTATATTTTAAAAAAAATATATACTACTTTATTTGTTCATATATTTTGTAACACGCGTTTCGAGTTTGTGACCTTCCTCAGACAAAGAATGGCTATTTCTACGTATTATTGAAAGGAATTAATTTTTCTTATGTTTTCTTATGTTTAACCATTGTTTTTTGTTTGTGTTAGTAATCTAAATTTTTTTGGGACTGGCGGAAAATATCCTCTTCTTAAGGGGTAATAAAACAATTAGGATTGGTCAGAGAAAGCGAAAGGAACGAGGTCTTTATTCTTATCTTTTTATGACGTCTGTATCTTTTTTAACCTGACTCCATTTTTGTGTAGTATGTGTGTGTTTACTAGCATGTGTATATGTATTCCTTCTCCTTACTTACCTACCTACCTACCTACCTACCTACCTATATATATATATATATATATATATATATATATATATATACATATATATACATATATATATATTCTTTTATTATATATATATATTCTTTTATTACAAGGAAAAATATATATATATATATATATATATATATATATATATATATATATATACACATACTTGTAAGGTTCGTGTTTGTGTGTGTACGTGTGTGTATGTCTGTGTGTGTAGTCCATTTAGTGTGTTTGTTATTGCCTGTATGTGTGTATGTATTCGTTCTCCATACATATATACTATGCATTATATAATTATTCATAAATCTAGACAGTAACTACATGTATCTTTTATGGTGTGTTTGTGTGTGGTTGAACAAGTATGTTTTGCCACTATGCGTGTATGGTGCGTGTTTATGTGTGTGGGGTTATGATTAGTTTAGTGCTGGTTTACATTTTGTCTATAACGTTTTTTTTTTATATTTGTAGGTCAGAGTAATTATCTGTTTGATATATTGGCATAATATTAAATTTACCTGCATTTGTGGATGTGTTGTGACACAAAAAGTTTCCTGTTGTCTGGTAATTTAATGTTGTTTTTGTGAAGGGAAACTGCTGTTTATTGTTTGGAAGATACCTATACAGGATTTGTTGCATTTTGTGCACAATGTGATTTATGCAATCAAGTGCACAAAATGCAAGTAAAAACTTCATAGACAAATTTAAACTAGCACTAAACAAATCACAACCCCCACACGTAAACACGCACCATACACACATAGTGGCAAAACACACTAGTTGGATCACGCACACATACACATGCACACACCATACAAGGAATTACTGTATATATTTATTTATGATAATATAATACATAGTATATATGTATGGAGAACGAATATATACGCACATACTGGCAAAACAAACACATTAGATGAACTACACGCACACACATGCACACATACATACACACACACACACGAACTCTACACATCACACAAAGTGTATATGTATATATACTATTTCCTTGTAAGAAAACAATATATACGTATGCAAAAGGAATATGTATAAACATACTAGTAAAACACACGCGTTAAACAGAAATGTAGAAAGGTTTAAAAAGATACAGACGATATAAAAAGATAAGAACAAAGATCTCATTTATTCCCTTTTTCTCTGACTAAACTTAATTGTTTTATTCCTTCTTAAGCAAAGGAACATTTTCCGCCAGTACTTGAAGAATTTGGATTACTACCACACACAAAACACAATGGTTAAAAATAAGAAAAATTAATTCCTTTAAATAACATGTGGAAATAACCATTCTTCGCCTGATGAAGGTCAGAAGACCTGAAACACGTGTAGCAAAAATATATAAATAAAGTATTATACATAAAAAGTCCACATTTTAAGCAAAAATGTTTGCGGCTTTTTTTTTATATATATATATATATATATATATATATATATATATATATATATATATAAAGACATTTTTTATTATATAACGTTGTTATTTTATAATTGTCGGACCTTGTCCATTTCTTAATATATATATATATCCTGATAAGGTAATTTCAAGAGATGCATGAAATGTTTGAAACGACACAAGAAACGTTGGGTGATTCAACAGATGGACAGGCTGATCAGTGCAATGCGCCGAATTCGTGTGTCGAACCAAAATACAGAGTGAATTGGTTCCTCTGTAAATGCACAATGTATGTGACTTTGTGCGAAACGGACAAACTCTCTCTTTTAAACACACACTCAAACACACATATATATATATAGTGATTTTTTAAGCATAACTTAGATGTGTCACAAGGCCGAAAGTAGGGGTCACCCAGTGAGGATTGAACTCACTACTCAGTTGTAAAGTTCTAGCGAGACAAACTTGGTAAACATTACACCACCTCGAGGTAACCCCCCACACATATATATATATATAAGCAGTGTGGATACTTTCAACACTGGATGGCGACAGACTATTCACGATGAATGATTTCATCCTCAAAGAAGGCCTTTGTTTTACACGTCTATTGGGGCTTAGTTCAGATCTCAAATTCAGCTCCAAGCTCAAATTCAGCCCAGATCTCAAGTGGAACTCATATATATGGTCCATCGTTAAAGACGACCCCAAAAGTACCTAACATCACCTGCCATGCTCTATCAGACTAAATATAGAATATTAGTGTCATATCTCAACTGGAAGTAACCTAATCCTCACTTTCCGGCTTTGATTTCAAAAGTGTCTGAGATGTTTTGTGGGTGATGAAGTGTTTACAATCAGATGAAACTCGAGATTCTTATTTCTATGAGGAATGTTCTGAAGACTTGCATCCTTTACTACCACCAGTTGAGGCACTTACAGCTTTGGTCTGCCGTAACATGTACAAAGGATCGTATCATCCACAATCCCTTCAGAAGGAAGCTCAGATAACATCTCGTTACGAAATGTAGCAGTTCGTGGTACAATTGCAGATATGGTAGAGCAGTCTTGATGGACTTCAGGCTTCAGTAGATTCCCAAAACCATCAGAAAGTGTCATTCCTAGCTGATGAGTAGAAAAAGCTGTCCTTCAAAATCCAGATTGGAAAAAAATGTGCAAAAGGTACAGGAAATGTTCAAGCATATACTCATTTTTGCTGAGTAGTACTCAGCGTACTTCCGGAGGCTCTTGTTCCGGAAAGGGCAGAGGAGAAGAAGGTGTGGTTTCCTGTTGGAATAGATGCCGCGGTTGTACTATCTGTTCCTTCTCTCCTCCCTTGAGCTCTACACTCCCCCGGCTACGTGAACAGGATTCTCGGAATTGTTCCGTAGCGTTAGTATGACCGACTATAACTAGCTTAGACAAGCTATGACCAACTAAGACCAGCTTGAACCAGCGGCCCGAGTGTCTCCACTCGGGTCTCCACGTTAAAAACCGAACTTGTCTCTCAACCTGACTCAGTCGCGAAACAAAGAAAACACCAGACTCAACGTACTTCCTGCTCTTCTCTACTATCGTGAGAATGGACTGCTCCCATTGAGGTTGGTTGACCCTGACTCTCCCTAGTAATGAATTCGAGTTTCGCTGTGTAATCCGTTAATGTGACTTTAACATTTTAGTATATAATAATTCTGTAAGGCTTCAGACATATTGAGCTTGTAAATTGTTGTTTTGTTCATTATTTACATTATTCGGACTATTGCCCTCATCTTTGTCGCCATATTTATTACAACGTTTCGGTCGAACTGAACCCTTTATTTCGCTCACTGGGGTAGATTGTTCTAGTTCCACGTGCCATGTTTAATGGATGTTAGTTATCAGTTATCTCCTGTTAATTTCCCTCTTAAAGTTCTCCACTGCCATAACCGGGTATTGAACTCACACTCTTTGGGTCCTGTTACTGGATCTAACCAACGCCTTTATCTACTGTGCCATGTGTCCTTGAGGACACACCCCAGTGAGCGAAATAATGGGTTCAGTTCGACATTCCAACCAGCTGAAGAAGGCCGGAGCGTACAACGGCCGAAACGTTGTAATAAATATGGCGACAAAGATGTGGACAATAGTCCGAATAGTGTAAATAATGTACATAATACCTCATCTCAGAAATATAGACAGATACTGTTTTGTTTTTTATTTAATCACCCCACTTCTGTGAAAAGCTGCAATACAAGGGTCTTCATCTAATGTGGGGTGCTTATGCGCTTGGTAGTCTTCACCTGATCGTCATTCTCCCTCCTCACTTAAAAAATATTTTTCATCATCATCATCAGCATTATCATCATCACCAACAGTTTCATGAGCGAATATGCTCTTAGGGTCACTGCGCAAGGGACCACCTGACTATTAGCTTTCCCATATCGGAATTGAAAGCCGGAGAGGTATACATTCATGCGTAGTGCGACTTGGGCAAAATGACCTTGCGAAGTCCATCCCTCTCCGGGTCAAACCACCGCCGATGTCCTCCAACCTGAAGGCTCGTCTTTGGTCATGAACACGTGGCCATTGATTCCATCAGGCATG